TTAGTTTTTGGCGGACACAACATATCTTTGTATGTGGTGCTGAGGATCGAACCCAGGCCGCACGCATGCCAGGCAAGCGAGATAACCGCTTGAGCCACATCCCCAGCCCAAGAAAACTTTTTTATATGTTCACTTTTCTAAATGAATTATTAACTCTACAAACTTTACATATAAAGTTTAATCTTGAATGAAATTAAGTGGTTTAAAAAAATCAAGAACACGTTAAAAGCAAATCAAGGCAGGTACGGTGGCGCTTGCCTGTAATCCAAGAGTCTTAGGACCTATCAGCAGTTTTGTGAGGCCCTGCCTCTAAATAAAAATATTTAAAAAGGGCTGGGGATGTGGCTTAGTGATAAGTGCCCCTGGTTTCAATCCTCAGTACAAAAAAAAAAAAAAAAAAAGTAAGTCAAGCAGAATGAAGCAGGAAGGCAAGGCCCAAGGATTCCTCAGAGGAACAAACATCTTGCAGTTTGTGAACATGCACAGATGAAAATATCTGGGGTAACTGTAAGCCCTCAAACTTAGGGGCAAAACCTGAGGAGCCTAGGAAGGTAAACTAAGAAGCACACATACAGCCAGAAAAAGGAACTTTGTTGAATGAAGGTCCCTCCTGGAGAAGACATCTTCCTCAAAGACATCAAAGAAAATTGATAGGCTACAACAGCAAAAGTATTTCCCATGCTTTTGAAGAATATTCTTTAAAATCTGGGATGGTGACATATTTACACATAAAGTAACACTAGGGGTTTTTGAGACAGAATCTTGCTAAATTACTGAGGCTGGACTTGCAATTCTCCTGCCTCAGCCTCTGGAGTTTCTGGGATTACAGATGTGCATCACCATGCCCAGCCACCAGGGTTTTATTGTGAATGTAGTATTTTTTTTTTTTTTTTTTTTTTTTTTTTTTTTTTTTTTTGCGGTGGGGAGGGGAGCAAATGCACAGCACTACCAGGATTTTCCAACATTGCTTATTGCCTAGCAGCTTACACGAAGTGGCCATTTAGTCAACCTCCTCTCCCTTGAAAATAAAACTTTTTCCAGGAATGGGAATTGAACCCAAGGCCCTCTGCATACAAGGCAAGTACTCCCACTACTGAGCTACAGTCCCAGCTGTTTCTTTTTCTTTCTTTATTTATTTCACATTTGTAGGACAATTTTTTATTACTTTATTTTTATGTGGTGCCAAGGATCGAATCCAGTGCCTCATGCATGCCAGGTAAGCACACTACCACTTGAGCCACATCTCTAGCCTCCCAGCCCTTTCTTTCTCCGACAGTTTCCTCCTCCTCCTTCCCTGCAGCTCAGTTTACACATCCCTGATGTTGCCTCTGTACTATGGTGCTCTTCCTTGCAGATGCCCACTGGGCACTCACCTGGGGATGCCAACCTGCCAGCACTCTTCCTGGAGGTTGGCATCCAGGCCAGGAGGGCAAGGAATAAGGGAATAAGACAAGCATTCTACAAAAAATAGTTAGCCCTTCAATAGATGAATGGAGAAAAAAAATGTGGCATTTATACACTATGGAATATTACGCAGCA